CTAGGGTAGATTTATCTTTTGAGAGTTCTGATGTGATAGTTTTCTTTTCAGCATCACTTTTACTTTCAACTGCTTTTATCTTTTCACTAAATTCTTACACTTTTCTAATAATTTGGCGCGCTCAAATCACCGTGCTGATAACAAATATGGCGCCAGTTTGTTTACATTGCGCAGATCAGTACGAAAATTTCAGTGATTGCGCAGGTTAGTGTTGCCACCATTGTGTGAAAATGTTGGGTGAATTGATTGGACGGTTTTTGAAATATTAGAAAAAGTTATCTCGATAATAATTTGGCACGCAGTGTGTATATATATATATATATATATATATATATATATATATATATATATATATATATATATATAAACACACACAATGACACGTATATGTATATATATATGCGCGCGTGTGTGCGTATGTGAGAGTGTCTGTGTGTTTTTAGCAAAATACATGTAAAATTTTTATTTGTTGTTTCACTAAATAGTTATGAAGTTATACACTTTATAAATTTAAAATGATTTAGAGATTTATGAAAGCATACAATTTAAGTTATAAATAGTTCATCGCTTTTTCACATTAGTGTAATACGATTGTTTATGATGTCAATTTTTGCGTGCAAACGTTCAGGGAGAACAAATACTTGTAAATCAGTGAAAATATATTTCATACACTCATTGTCATTTAGTTTTATCACTCATTAAGTTATTCTAAAATTCAGTTTAATGTAAATGTATCACACACATAAGCTTCCGTCATATACTCTGAAGAAATATGAATAAAAGACTTATGGCTGTTGGCAAATTTATGAATTTTTATGGGTATATTTACAATTTTTTAATTGTGTCTTTCCATCAGTCTTATAATAGTCATATATATATATATATATATATATATATATATATATATATATATATATATATATATATATACACCGTCATATCACTTTCTGTTTCGTATTTATCCGTACACAGTTTTATTGTAAGAATCAGTTCGGATTTCTTCAGTTTTTTTTTCTCTTTGGTTGCATTCTTAATCGAAACTAAAGCTTGTAATAGACGCTGATAAAACCTCTATTACAAGCCTTTCTGCATTTGGGCTTGTTACAATTCGACATCACGGTCATCAAACTCGTTACCCAGACTCTCCAATGTCTGTGTACTGATACTGTGTCCATTGATGCTCTGAGTCTGGGTAGCAGTCGTAGATCGACTATAAGCGCTGCTGAAAGAACTCGACCGTTTCAATCGCTGCATCATCTCGACTTCTGAAACAAATAGAAATTCTGTTACTTAATCACATTAAAGGAAACATGGTAAGGAAAACATTGGTGATATATTCTCATGTATAAAGACCACTTTTGAAAAGCGAATAACTTAAGCGTTGGCTCATACATGTATAATAACTATTTTACATAGAAAGCTTTAGGTAATGGAAAAGATTGGGAGAAAATTACATAAATATTCACTACTGACTTGTATTAAAAATACAAAAAAAAAAAAACATCTCGTAATGAAAAATTAATGAAGTACTGCCAAAAGATGAAGTTCAAAGGATAGCGCAGGTAATGTTTAATCATTTAAGTAAAATTTCTTATCACTGGCTAAGTAATCATAACTCTTTCTATATATTCACTTATATAAATAACATTAATTTCATATTGCTTACGTAGCAACTGATAGCACTGTGCCGACTTAGTAGAGTCATATTTACCGTATTTTATTGTTTTAGAAGTCTCCAAACTGATGTAGACACAAAGCAGAATCCCAAAGATTTCCAATCGAATCATCATGTAAATTGACTTATATACATCAGAAAAAAAAATCATGCAATTCATGCAAACATTAGGTCCAGCGTCAAAATTGTTCGTGTCATCAGCTGAATTAAAATTCTAGTTTGAAGTGTAGCAGATGTTATATATATGTTATCTTATATATGCATATATATGTTATATATTACTGAAAAAGTGTATTAAAATAATTATGTTTATATTAGCAATTTTGAACAATGAAACGGGCAATCAATACAATCAACAATATGTACTCGAAGTATTTTTCTATTATGTACTGTATTTCTTCTCGTCATGGCCATCCCCAACTTTTACCTGCAAGCAACATTTGACCTTCTTTACCATTCTTCCTTGTCCCTACCTAGCATTTCAATCATACAAAATCGTTAAGTAGGTTACTCGCTGTTTGCTTCTGCCCTCTCTATCCACAATATATCTTGTGAGTGTTACATTTTCCAAGCCTTATTATTCCTATCAGAAGTGTCAACTGTCTCTTCCTGATTTTATGTATGTGCTTAGTTTCCATTATCTTTAAAAATTCTTTGTTTTATTCATTTCATGGTATTCTCAGCATTCCAAAAATTCCAAGTATACGAGAACAGATATGACAGCGGTACTGCGCTCTTTTTTCTTTCTATCGAAATATTTCTTATCTTTTAATATTTTAATACTTTGTTTATTTTCTGGAACCAATCTTTTGCTATTCGCATTTTTGCGGCATATTCTCCACCGTCGTCATCTTTTATGCATATATCTAGGCTTGTTATTTTATTTCTGTGTGAATGTTTTGTGTATTGTGTATTTTTTTTACTGCTGAATTCAGTTGCCCATTGTATATAACACTAAATAAATGTGTCACCTTATTCACGATCTTTGTGGGAAACATTGGAATTTTGAATGTCATAAAAGGAAACTCTAACGTCATGTGTAAAATATATAAATGGTGTTATACACGTTTGTATAAAAATTTTAGTTAAAAGAAACAAACTAAATGACTTTTAATGTGTATGGTGATTTTAACAACGGCCCGCTAAATTCTATTTTTCAGCCTATGTTCACATCCAACCTCGAACCGTTAACAGTATAAACTCTACACTCACTATTTCTCAATGTTCCATCTCTTCTTGAAAACGATCAAAACTGGTCGAAAGTACATAATAGGAACAGAACATTTCGGAAAATTTCTCGATAATTTTCTATTTGGTGTCTAACAACTTATTCGACGCCAGAAGTAACCCAGAAAGAAGTTTTTTCTGTCAGTTTTATTTTGCTTATTAATGCCAACCGTAAAGTCCACTCATAACTATAGAATTGAAAAGAAAAAAAATCCGGCATTAATTATTAATTTATTGCACAGTAATACCCATCGTTACAAAATTTGACGATTGCGTGAGCTATTGGACGGCGACTCAGAATGAGAAATATGAGAGCCTCGTTCGAATTGCAATCTAGTTCGTTAAATTCACTTAAGGGCAAATACCATTGAGAAATGTATAAATTCATTTCCTCCCCCAGTTATGAAAAAAATCATAGGAATTGTATCTGAAAAATCACTGTAATTGTTAATACAATATTCATTCAGAAAAAATATTACAATTTAAAATGTTTCGGCTTTAAATAAATCATCAAGGGTTGATAAACCATTAAAATAAATCATTCAGTCAACCAACTGTACCAGAAAATTCTAACTTTTTTTCCCCACAGAGATGCAAAAAACGGAGTAGAATAAATATATATTTATTATTATTATAATTTTTAGCTCTCTTATTTTATTTCAGTTTTATTGCCACCGGCACTCACTGGGAGTTATTATACACAGATACACGTGCACGGGTGACCGTGTGTGTGTGTGTGCGCGTGCGCGCGCGCGCGCGCACACACACACATATATATATGTTTTGAACATATATGTTTTGAACAATAAAAGATATTAAAAAATTTAAATTTTCAGACACACTGGGTTGCATGTTAATATTTTTTGTTTTATTATTTCAATTAGGTTCCTTGACTAGTTTCGGCCAGCATGGTCATGATCAGGAGAAAAAGAAATCCCTCCTTGTTAGTAGCATTGAGCTACAGGACTGAATGACTGTTTCTAAAGAAAGTGAATTTTATCTGTAGTTTTCATTTGTTTTTATCGTTAATTTTGGTCAGCATATACACAGTCACCAAAAACAAACAAATAACCAGCTTTAAATATAACAAATAAACCCCGCAGTTTTTTTTTCAAAAATTTAAAAATAAATATAAATAATAATAATTTTTACCTATCATAATTTTACACAAACCCCACCACACGTATATACATACATGCGAGGAAATATTTTCCAGCGGAAATATACATAATATGACATGTATACATTCACGAGACATTAACGAGACATTTCCGCCACACTTCCAATGTTTAAATTTCTACATTTCAACATACAAATGCGTATGTATAGACATAACACCACCCGTATACATACATGTGTCATAGCCGAAACTGCCCACATATGTTTATATATGTATGAGTCCCGACGGACGACCAAGTATGTATATGTGTCTGCATATATCGATGTTTGCGTTCGTCCGATGAATGACAAAACGACGAAATTTCCCCCACCACTTCCACGATAATACCAATACACGCAATCTACATAAACCCAATTTTTTAAAAACATTACGTGAAACCCAGGGTCACAAACTCACATCTATCTAAGTAAATATATATATATATATATATATATATATATATATATATATATATATATATTATCGCTCACCCATAGAACAGTTCGGAGTTTCATTCACAACTCAATCTTCAGGTGCTGAGTATATATATATATATATATATATATATATATATATATATATATATTATATAAAATTTATGATTAGAAATTACTTCAACGTTTTATGTCCCTTATCAGAAACAACCACTTTCACTCAGCGTAGAATCTAGATTTGATAGCCATGAATTCTATGGGAATTTTTTTTAGGAAATCATTACCTAAGATAGTATATGTTAAAAAAGTCCGGAGAGTTTAGTGGAAAAAAAATTTATGACTCAATGTAAATATAATAACTCTATATTATTAAGCAATCTATATTATGTTATCCCACCTTAAATAAGGAAAAAGGTATCATTACTTTCATGATAATTCTAATATAGACAATTCATCTACATCATTTGGTTAATGAAATTCTTTATCATATCTTTTTTTTAAAAATCTATTTCAATTTCTCCAGTATGAAATAAAAGAAAACAAGAAAATAATTTGAGAGCCACGTACCATCTGCTTGCGTGCCGGAATCGACTCGAGCCGTTGAAGAATTTGTTTTAGGGACCATCATCTTGCTTGCCATCATAGACTGACGAACATTCCTTTCTGGATGAAGCAGAATAATATAAAGTTTAGGCGTAAACATACATAGGAGCGCCACTGTTGCACTTAAACTTATGGAAACACACATCGTTGCCATACGGACTTTAATATTGTGAGCTGTTGTGAAATAGATTGGCACGAAGGCCAACCATATGATGAATGTAGTGTACATTGTAAAACCTATATATTTAGATTCGTTGAAAGCCTCGGGTATCTTTCGTGTGAGTATTGCGTAAATGGTACATATGTTCACCAAAAGGATCGGGTATGAAAAACCAATCATATAAGAAAAGCCTCGGGCTGCCTTACATATCAGCTGATGATCATTACGATTAGCATAGAATGGGATTGCAATTGGTGGGCTCATCATTAGCCATACTACCCCGATTGCCAATTGTAAAGAAACTAATGAACCACAAATGAAGAGCTGTGATCTAGGACTGATGAATTTCGGTCGTTTTGCAGTGCGCTTGCCGGCGCGAAAGATCCGTGCGATCCGGTTGGTCTTTGTTAAAATGGATGCGTAAGTTATAGAGAAGCATAGACCGATTCCAAATTGTTGAGCCCCGCATGTGAAAGGGTTAGGTTTCGATACCACCAGAAAAGTCATCGCATAACATAGTAATATTCCAAACAGCAGCACAAAACTGAGTTCTCTTCCTGATGCTTTTACCACAGGTGTAGTTCTGAATCTACGTAGAAAGAAAAGTAAAATTCAGTTATCTGTAGTAACAGCAAATTTGAAAGATGAATGTCTGCCAGAAACAAAATAGGTATTTTATGAAAAGAAAACTGTAATTCGTACAATATTAGAAATACATGTTTACAATCTGTGTGAATGTGATACATGTTAATACATTCTCGAAGACCTTATATGAAAATTTCTCGTTATAAAAAATATAACGGAAATTATTCCGTATAATGAAAGAAAAGTAATACTAGAGCGATTGAAAATGATAATTAAGACTGAGAAAAAAAAAACGATCAGGAGACTAGAATAAACAAACAAATCTCCGTATTTAAAAGAAAATAGCTGTTGATGAAAAGGGAAAAGAAACAAAGAAAAAATAGCAAAACTGACAATTATATTTGATCGATAAATAATAATAAAATAATAATAGCCATGATGTAAAACCGACTGTGATGCAAGATACTGAAGTAAAGACAACAGTAATCAATAGCTATATCTAATAGCTATATCTAATTATAATGGGGGTTAATCTAAAATATTTTCAAGATGAGTAAAATGAATACAGAAAAATGGTCTTTAATATTTAGAGAAAAATAATCTGAAAGAAAATTATAACTTAGCAATGTCATGGATTGACTATAAAATATTATGGTATATTCCTTCAAATTTGATATCAGGAATAATTAGACATGTTCAAATTTGAGTAACATATTTAAATGCAATAATAGAAATTGACGGATAACGTCGTCATTAAAAATTTCGAAGAAACAAAATATCTCTATTCTTTTTTGTAATCGATATGATAGTGTGTGTAAATGGAGATATGCAATTTTCCCGGATGAAGTCAGCTGTCTAAAGCACATTTGCAATCTAAAATTATTTGTCATTAGTAAAAGTCAACGAAAAGGCATCGAAGAATTTGGAATGAAAAATTTGTTACTAATGCTCAAAGTAAAACAGGAATCAGTAAAAAGAATTTAGTTACCTAGCAGCGAAGTCAGAATAACTGAAATGAAAAAAAATATACAAATAATTTGAAAAAAAAAAAAAAATTCATAAAACCAGAAGATATGAAAAATCCGTGAAGTACGAAGACGATTTTGACGACAAACAAAAACTGAATAAATGAAAATATAACAGAGAGTTTTTATAAACTGTATAAGAAAAGAAACAATTATTTGCAATAGCTGCCAAGAACAAATCCATAATATAATAATGTAAGTAAATGTCATCTGGTTAGAAGAAAAAGAAATAATGATATAATAATCGAATGGTCACCCAATTACAACGAAAGAATACAATGAAATACATATAATTGGATGAAAAGTTGAATTCACAAAGAATGTAGTGGTTTTCGTTTGATTATATAAACAAATTGTAGGCGCTCAAATGAGAAAGTGTCTTGGGACTTTAAAATTCGGAAAAGAACATCCCAAAGGAAAGGAGACTTGATTGAATAAAAAGCACGGGAAATCAAATGTTGAACATGGTATTATGAGAGAATGAGAAAAGATTATTTCGAAAATAGCAAACACTTCTATAACATGACAGAAGAAATATTATTTATTGTCGTGCAACAAATGAAATTGATTACAGGGAATTTTTTTATATTTCCTACCTAGAATAAACTCATCAGAATCTATTCATAGTTAACACAACGTATACATATAGGGAAAGATATTATACTTTAAACCATAACCTAAATAAATAGGGTAAATTGGCCAAATGGAATATAAAATCAATAAAAACAACGCAGGGATGAGAAATGTGTTATACTAGTGTTTTATTGAAGAAACTTTAAATTGATCATGAAATTTTAATAACCCTAAAAATTCAAGCAAGGTGTTATAAAAAAACAGTACTGTAACTGGCCTATATGGTCATAGTGAAGATGAAAAGAATAAGAAAAAGATAAAAGTACTACACTCTTGCTTGAAAATATGTGGATGTGTAAAACTTAAGCATGGTCGTTGTTTCTTTTGCAATGATGTTCACCAAGTACAAGGCCCAAAAGCCACTCGATGTTCACAGAGTAAGATTGCAGTGATCGGAGAAGCATCCTCTTGGAAGTCGTTTCCACAAAGGAAGACGCTGCTCGAGTGGTACTTATATCTGACAATCGAATCCAAAGTGAATGAGGGCTACAATGTACGCGACATGGCGGGTCTTGGATGTGAAGGTTATAAATGGTGGAACGAAGAAATATAGTTCGTCTGAAGACTTTCCATGGAAGTAGCTATAGAACAGCGAGGGGCTTGTAACGTTTCATCTGAGAGAAAGGGATCGCAGTGTGGAAAATAATTCGTCACACACAAGGACGCGAAAACGCTTTTTGAGACTGGAAAGTGAAGACTGAGCAGATCATGTCCATATATGTCAGGAGAACTATTTTTGACTTGATCTAGTACTTGTAATGTTACAGGATCACATGAGGAGTTACGTACTTACTGGAGCGCCACAGGGAATCGACCATTTTCCAAGGATCATTAACGATGGATCGTATGTACTAATTCCACTTTAGGTCTGGGTTGAGCTTGTCCAAACAGGTACTCAAGGCACAGTGACTCCGTCAGGGAACACCCGTTCATCGAGGTCGGTGAAAATTTTGTGTCTGCGCGGTGATGATGGAACGGCAATAGTTTGGTTTTCGAGGCACTGAATGTGACTAGTTTTTCCCCACTGGCCAATTAGAGCTAGATCAGAGGAGAGATCACCTGCCAAACTCTGGTCATTTACAGTCTTAGAGGTGCACATATATACCGTTGTATCACCAGCATAGATATTCACAAATGATCGGATTATACACTTAGATCAGTTATGTAGAATAGAATGAAGAGAATAATAGAGAACGCTTGGGCCTCGAAGGACTGGCCTTTAACAAATGCTCGTTAAAACTCCATTCAGAGACCTAGAGTCTGTCTATATTTCTGAGATGAGGTATTATGTACATTATTTACATTATTCGGACTATTGCCCTCATCTTTGTTGCCATATTTATCACAACGTTTCGGCCTTTGTACGCTCCGGCCTTCTTCAGGTGCCTGGAATGTCGAACTGAACCCTTTATTTCGCTCACTGGGGTAGACTGCTCTAGTTCCACGTGCCATGTTAGATGGATGTCAGTTATCTCCTGTTAATTTCCCTCTGAAAGTTCTCCACTGCCTTAATCAGGTATTGAACTCACACTCTTTGGGTCCTGGATCTAACCAACGCCTTTATTCACTGTGCCATGTGTCCTTGAGGACATCTGGGTATGAATTTCTGGGTATTATAAACCTAATGTCTTCAGAAACCATTTTTACCAGTTCTCATATTGCAATTTTGCTGTTATCATTGCATGGTTTTTACCAGAGCTCATATTGCAACTTTGTTGTTATCATTGCTTTTCTCTGGTACTCCTTATTACTGGTTCCCATATTGTATTTATTTCTATGCTTGGTCGGCTCAGGAGATTTTTGTGGCCTAGCATATGTTCTGATTCCTTAAGTTTACGAATTTTCCAATGGTGTTCCTTGTCTATGATCTCAACATGATCCCACAGAGGGCGGTGATTTCCCTTCTCTCTCCATATGTGGTCAACCACGCCTGATTTTTACACTTCCCCTCGTGTTACAGCTTTCTGGTGTTCTTGAAGCTTTACCTTGATGGGATAAATGAGGACAACAGTCCGAATAATGTAAATAATTCAGAGACCTAGTCCTTAGGAAGGACTTTATTATTGAGAAGACCTTCGAAAAGTTTGCTAATGATACTGAGGAGACTAATGGGTCTTTACTCTGACGGGGATGAGGGCTCACCCGCATTATTGAAAACAGTTCATACACCTGACCCCTTTCACAGACTTGGGGAGGATTTCTTTAAAGCAGCAGTTAAATAATTTCACTAATATCGGGGATAACTCTAGGTTAATATTCTTAAGGACAACCATTAGGATTTTGTCTGGACCAGTAACTTTCAAGACTTTTGATAAATCTTGAGACTTCCAGGGTTCTAATAAAAATATTGCTGAGATTGTGCTCAGTGAGACGGAGAAAGTCTGGTAGGGGATGGACATTGTCATTTATTGTTGAGTTAGAGGCAAAGATCGTGGCGAAGAGCTTACCTGACGAGGATAGGATGACATTTGGGCCATTTATAATAGTAGGCAGTGACACTTTGTCTTTATTCAGAATTTGGTTGGAGATTTTCCAGAACTCCGGGATGCAATTGTTTTTTTTTATTTTTTTGTTTGTTTTGTTTTTGACCTACGTCTGGACTGCTTTTGTATAGCTATACTTTGCATTTTCTAGAAATCTCTTGTAATGATTATGGGCAGTTCTAAATGCAGCAAGTGTCCTACTACAGTGATAGATATTTTAGTAGGAGTTATAGTGAGCTCTGACTACAGCACATTCAGAGTTTTTACTTGGATTTTTCTGGAGTATAACTCTCTTCATTCTGTTGGGAAAATAAGAATTGAAGATTTAGGGAGTGTTTCAAAGGCCCTTAAATCGAGATTAGAAGAGGTAGATATTCACAGAAAATTAACTGTATAAACCACGGCAATGATAGTAACATAAGCATTATTAGGGATTTCAGAAGACTTGTTTTCATACGAGTGATCGTATGGATGGCCAAAAGATATGATTGGACACTTTAAACTAATAACTTAAAAAATAACTTTTCTTGAAAATAGTAAAATCACTAAGTGACTCAGTCAGATTATCCTATTTTGGCGAGAAGAACCAACTTGAGAGTCAACAAGACAAATTCTACTAAATTAACAATTTCAGCGATTCATAACGTACGCGTAACAAAAGAAAAAAATATAAAGAAAATGGAGATCTTAGAAGAATGTTTAATACTTATGATGGAATTTTATCACAGCGTCTTAAATGTCATTATCAACTTAATATTGCGTATTTGTATACTGGAGATTT